ACCAAATATTACCCACCCAATGTGTGGTTCAGGCACTGCCTGCGCTGGCATTGTCAGGTCCCCAAAGCTTAGCTTGGTATTTTGCACCTGTATGAGGCATGTGTTCTGTTATAAATTGTGACACATCGTAGCTCTTCACACGATCTCCTAACCCCTGCCCTTGCATATAGTGACAGAAAGCAAGTCTCTTTCCTATGAAGCTAGAATCTTCAGTGGGGGTGTCACCTTGGGCTGTGGACGTAGGCACTACATATCCATGTGTAAATACCTGTATATCGGTACGCGTGTGCACATATGTACACGTATGAAATATATACATAGAAACATGCATATTTCTTGAGTGGCTACCCTGTAGGCTGCAGAGAGCTGTGTCAGCCAGGTCAATGTCAGCAATAACAACAAACTCCAAATGAATCATGGCCCAAATTCAGTATAAGTTGATATCTTCCTCGTGTCAAGTCCAAAAAGACTGTTTCTTTTCCCAGAGTAGCTTTCTTCCAGTTGAGACTTTAAGAAGCCAAACTCCTTATACCTGGTTGGCTTCATCTTCAACAAGTGGCTTCCAAGGTTGCTGTGCTGAGTTGGCTGCATCAAGCCAGTGGGAGGACAAAGAGCATGGAAGACTATTTGAGGGAGGTATTCCTGGGCCCGGCAAGAAAGGACAGGTGTCACTTTTGCTCAGGCTCCATGACCTAGAACTAAACATGTCATGTAGGCACACCTGACTGTAAAGGAGGCTGGGAAATGCAGGCCAGCCATGCACCCAGCAAGAAGAGGGCCAACGTTTCCGAGGTTTTGTGACACCCAGCTCGTCCCTGCCACTGGGACAATGTAGAAATTAAGGGATTGGCCTGCATTTTCCTGGAGCTGATCGTCCTGTTAGAAAGATAGAACCTACACAGAGAACAACTCAGTAAAACTGAGTGCACTTTGGATAAAGGACCGAAATGAGAGGCGGTCCAGTCCCTCAAGGCAGGGAATCCACTGTGGGTTAGAGAGGATAGATGACTTTACAGGGAGGGTTTCAGTGTCGTCCTGAATACTGGACAGGATCTAGGGGCAGGAGGAGGAGGGTGTGCCATGGAAAAATGGACCAGAGATCAACTCAGATGGGGGAGGGGCACATTCCAGAGACTGAAGCCAGTCCGACAGGGAGGGTTAGACCATCACCGTCAAAGGAAGCATCTGAGTAAGAATATCCCTCGCTTACCTCTGGTTTGAGAATGTGTGAAATTAGGAGTCTATCTCCGAAACCCAGTTGAATCTCAGTTACTGACACAGTGTGACAGATGACGCAAGGCCTGTTTCAAACCCATACTGAGTAGTCCTGCTACTTTTCGTGCCTAAAACCAACCAAGTATGTCTAACTCCAGAATTCATTGGGAGATGCCGATTAAAGATAGGAAGTTTAAAGTATTTCAGATGAGATTTTATTCAGATGAACACTAACAGTAAATATGAACTAGACATGGGTATGTGATGGAGAATTTGCCCTCTAAGCTGGGGAGCTCCTCTTAAGAGGTCATGGCCTTCTTATGTCAGTTATGCTCTTTTTGACAGTGATTTAATTAAATTTCTCATGTATACATTCTACCTATTTTTCACTGAAGCACAAGTAATATAACATCAATATACAAAGTGATGCTATACACACACACGCCTGTGTATTATATATATATATGATGAAAATATAAGCCTATTTTAAAAATTCTTTTCATAAGAAATGTAGTCTCTATGGCATTGTGTGCTTTCATAGTTATTTAAGGGAAGTTGTGTGAAGTTGTGTGATATTTACCTATCATTTCTTTGCCTATAGCCTTAACACAAAAGTAGATTTTATTATGCTTGAGATGATAGGTAATCCAGTTACCCTGATTGGATCATTATACATTGTATACCTGTATTAAAACATCACATGCACCTCTATAAATATAAACAACTATTTTGTACCCATAATAATTAAAAATTTTTAAACATAAAATAATAATTAAAAATTTAAATGGTTTTTTTAAAAATGTAAACAGATTTTATTTTCTTCTAAGTCAATTTTTATTTGCCTTACATGTATGAAAACTATAACAATGAATGATTCATTTGTGCCTTATTATCTAAGAAATTACCTACCATCAACTGTCAGGTATAACAATAAACTAACCTGTGTGAATTTCAGCATATTATCCTATTTGTTTTCCCTTCTTACTATGACAGTGCCTCTCTCTACCTGTGGTAGTGGATTAAATAGCCACTTCTGTCTTTCTTTTTTCTGAAAATATACACTTATTGATGCCTATAATTCTGTCATTGGATGTTGTGACTTTGTTAGGAATTTTATTTAACTTCACCTTTTATTTTAGATTCAGAGGGCACATGTGCAGGTTTGTTCCATGGGTGTATAGCATGATGCTGGGTTTTGGATGCAGGTCCCTTCACTCAGGTAGTGAGCACAGTACCCACTACGTAGTTTTTTAACCCATTTCCCCCTTTCTTTTTCCCCATCTATTAGTCTACAGGGTCTGTTGTTCCCATGTTTATATCCATGTGTGCTCAGTGTCTAGCTTCCATTTGTAAGTGAGAACATGCAGTATTTGGTTTTCTGTTTCTGAATTAATTCACATGGGATTATGGCCTCCTCTAGCTGGATTCGTGTTGCTGCAGAGGACATGATTTCATTCTTCTTTATGGCTGTATTCTGTGGTATATATGTACCGTATTTCTTTATCCAATCCACTACTTATTGGCACCTGGGTTGATTGATGTCTTTGCTACTGTAAATAGCGTGGCATTGAACATGTATGTGCTTGTATCTTTTTGGTAGAATGATTGATTTTCCCTTGGGTACGTACCTAGTAATGGACTGATGAATCAAATGGTAGCTCTGGTTTAAGTTTTTCCATCTTTCTTTAGCAGATGAGGGATCTGAGACTAAGAGGTTCAGTTACATTCCTGAGATCCTGTAGAATGTATACCTTCAACAGGGCTAGAACTCAGGTCTCCTGGCCCTTGCCCCAGGACCTCTCCTTTCTCCCATGCAGACCTTCCCTATTTCAGTGAAGGGAAGGGACTCATTTGGATAAAAGCCACTGAAACAACCTTGAGGAGGGCAGGGTTTTAGATGCATATATGCATGCAGTAGGTGAAAGCGTGACGTCACGTATCTGAGAAGTAATAACGAAGTGCATTCATGAACTGAATAAGTCAGATAGCTAATCCATTGAGGCCTCTTCTCTCACATCACATGATATACCACTCAAAATCATTTCTTTTGTTGAATGTCATTTCCCATAACTTCTTGTCCTGTTTGCATATTGATAAATGTACTCTTAGGTCTCGCAACATTGAAATTCTTTTGGCACTCTCTCAATCTTTAAAACTTATATATGGGTGAGTCAAATATAAAGACGTCTTTTTGTTTATAGACTACAACAAGCACTAATGGGCTGCTTACTAAGTATGATGCATTTTGTCAGGTCCCAGAGATTACAAGATGAGATAAATTCTATCTTTGCCCCCAGGGAACTCAGATTCTAGAGCTTGAAGATTATAGGATTAGGATTCTAAAAACTGTCCAGAAACAATGTCATGGTTTTGGTTACCTATGGAGGTCTTAGCTCTGCTGAAGAAATTTGGATTTTCAAAGCAACAGGCAATCAGTTTAGAAATTATTTTCTTTTTTTGTGAAAGGACCTCCACAGACACACAAATGGAAGGTCCATTGAGAAGGAGAACTGGCCAACCCACAACAGCAAAAAAATACCTTTACCCTTGCAGGAGGATAGAATGCAGCCCTGTCACAATGCCATCCTTCAGGAGGAGCTGCATACATGTTTGTTGAATAATTAACTAACCAAGTACTCAGGGCTCTCACGGAAGTTCAGCCTAAAGAGAGTCGAATGGGGAACAGAGAGAATGTGGCTCATTTTAGTGGAGTTTGTAGTCCCTGCTGACCACATGATAGATATGCTGGGACAGAGTGACCTGTGGGACAGCCCTGCCCTCTAAGATGATTCTAACAGTGCTTAGTGGCAAAGAAGCAAAGGCATTTCTTAGATCGGCATCAGTGTGCAGCAGGGCCTCTCCAGGGGAGAAAAAGGAGTAGAAAAAACTTTTCAGAAGTGAGAGAGGCACGCTTAGCCGCATTATTTACTTACTCAATTAGATTTTTTTAGCATCTGGAGCCACAAAAGTTGTAACCAAGACAAGCCAGGCTATAAGTGCCATTTTCAAAATGTCATCAGCCTAGCAGAAATGTTAGGCATAAATCATGAGTTTTATTGTATTTGCAATTAAACAGATCAAATTTAATGTCCACAGAAAAGCCTTAGTAATTAGTATCAAGATTAATACAGTGAAATGTCTCTGGCTTAGCAGGCCTCCCAAACAAAACTGAAATAAAGAATTCAGTATATAATTGAATAGCACGTGAATATTAATGTACAAAATCCTCAGAGTCCCCAGGTCCCCAATGCAATTATTTTCTATTCACATTAATTGTTCCTAACAGATGACATTAATGACTTTGAGCTAAAATGTGTCCAAGGGAAGATTTCACAAGATCAATGCTGTTTAGAAATAAGGTCACTTTTATAATTATCTGCTCAGATTTTAACCACTGCTCAACATAATAAGGTGAACTTGGTGATTGGTTTTCTTAATGTGAATATCAAATGTTAATTTTCATACTACCCAATAAATACATCAGAGTAGTCATAGTTTTCCTACTGCTTATTTTTAACTACTACTTATATTTTTCTACTACGTATCTTCCAAGGCAGACTGACAGACTGTAAAAGCATGACTGTTGTTTACAAAATGTAATTTGCATATGCACATACATATACGTGTATGGGACACTGATAAACTAGAATAAACTTTTTTAAATTAGGACATGTATTATCTAATTTGGAAATGCCAACTCTTTTGAGATTTAACTGTCCAAGGCAGGATTTTGAAACAAGTAATTAAATTATCGCTATTTAATGTTTCTGCTTGGTTTTACCTAGAAACTTCACTCACGCCTCTTGGATCTTTCATCCGGAGATTTGCTTTCAGAGGTGGAAAGAAGCCGAAGTCTGACGCAGTCACGAACTGATGCTGAGCTGCACGTGAGTTTCCCAGTTGCCTTCAGAACACTTGTTTCGGTTGTTATTTTCCTTCCATCAACTATGATGTCACAAGCGAACCATAAAGCACATCCTTGAAGCATTGTCAGGCAGATAAAAATACCTTCCTTTCTTGTGTTCTCTGAAATTCAATATCATGTCCCCCAGCTGATATAGTAAGCAGAAAGTGTCATTCTCCACAGAAATATCATAAATCTTGGTTTTGTCCCCAAGACACCTTTTTTGGATATTGATTATATCTCAGAGTCTCTGAGAAATGGTCAAGGAGCTTTTTATTAAAACCCACATCCCATATTATTCATCCTACTTTTATGATATATTATGTATGAACTTTTAAAAATTCATGGGCTCTGCATTTTTTTTCTCTAGCTGGGGTTAGCTTTGTGCTTATTTGGCAAAACTTTAACCAGCATGGCTTTTTAACTCTCATTGACGTAAAAGGAGTAACTTGAAAAAACACAATTGCCAAATAAATATATAATGAAAAATGTAAGGCTTAAAACAATGACATGGACATTTGTGGATCACTGTTTTTTCATTTTACTGAGTAATTCTATCAGTGTAGATAGACCATTAAATGAAAATATTCTCAAGTTAGATTTGAATTGAATTTCAGTGGAATGTTGTCACTTTAAACATTTATAAAGACCTAATGGCATCCAATCTATAATACAGCCCTAAGGTCAAGAGTTTTTTTTATTTTTTTAATTTTTTTTTTAAGTATGGAGTTTTTATTTAAAAATGGGAAGAATGAAACCCTGGGCTTAATTTTTTTTTTTTTTTTTTTTTTTTTTTTTTTTTGGACGGGGTCTCACTCTATTGCCTTGGCTGGAGTGCAATGGCATGATCTCAGCTCACTGCAACCTCCGTCTCCTGGGTTCAAACGATGCTTCTGCCTCAGCCTCCTGAGTAGCTGGGATTACAGGTGCCCGCCACCACACCCAGCTAATTTTTGTATTTTTAGTAGAAACGGGGTTTTACCATGTTGGTCAGCCTGGTCTTGAACTCCTGACCTTGTGATCTGCCTGCCTCGGCCTCCCAAAGTGTTGGGATTACAGGCATGAGCCACTGCAACCGGCCAGCTTCATTCTTTATCTCTATTTTTTAACCAAAATTGTAGATTTTCTACAGCATTTCTCACAGTAAGAATGTTTAAAGTATATGAGTCATTCAGGGTAGTAACCTAAAAATAAACAATGAGGAAAATACACTTTGGATAGTGCAGAAGACAGGTTGTATTTTTGCCTGTTAAATCAACATAATTAAGATAATGTTGCAAGAGAAGCTAATACACATTTTTTATGAAGAATTTTAAGAAGAATCACTATTACTGATGACAACTCGCTGGGATTCATGGGGTTCTGTGTATCTCTGGGAGCTCTGCTCATTGCCAGAGGGCTCACTTGGCATCATGGCATGATGGCTTGGACTTGGGCAGGGCATCAGAATGGTATATTGACAGGGCAACTTGGGCAAGGTATGAAAACCTCAATGCCTCAGTCTTCCCTTTTAGAAAATGAGGATAATGATATTTCTATTTCAGAGAGTTGTGGCGAGGATTAAATGAGATTAACACAGGAAATGTGTGTACACAGTGCCTGCTAACAATATTGCCACAATCATAAGATCTCTGTCCCTTTGGCCCTCTTCAGTTCTCTTAATATGTGGTACCATGCCACACCCACAGCAAACCACAGCAAAGGTAGAAATGATCACTGAGAAGGGGCTCTACTAATACGTTTCTCCAGAAGCCAGAAGCTCACATCAGTGATCTCTGGTAACAAAGTCCATCCACGTTTGGCTATTGCCTAATGTAGTTACTACTTAGGCACCAGACATCAGGAAATGATAGATATCAGGAAGTGTAAAACAGGGTCCCGTAGGGAGACCATGAACTCACTGATGGCTTAGTTGAAGAGCCAAGACACATGTGTGTGTTTGTGGGGTGTGTGTGTGTGTGTGTGTGTATATATATATATAGTTGTTGTTGAGATGAAATCTCACTCTGTTGCCCAGGCTGGAGTACGGTGGTGTGATCTCAGCTCACTGCAACCCCCACTTCCCTGGTTCAAGCAATTCCCCTGCCTCAGCCTCCCAGGTAGCTGGGATTACAGGTGCACGCTACCACGCCTGGCTAATTTTTTTTGTATTTTTTAGTAGAGACGGGGTTTCACCATGTTGGCCAGACTGGTCTCAAACGCCTGACCTCAGGCAATCCACCCACCTCAGCCTCCCAAAGTGCTGGGATTACAGGTGTAAGCCACTGCACCCAGCCTCTGTCTCTCTCTCTCTCTCTTTCTCTCTCTCTCTATATGTATATATGTATGTATGTATATATACATATATATTTCATGTTTTATATATATTTATATAAAATATAATATAACATATTTTTATATTATATTTTATATTATTATATATTATATTATTATTTTATATTATTTTTATAATATATAATATAATATATATTATATAATTATATATTATATTATAATATATATGTAATTATATATATTATATATATAATATATATAATATATATTATAATAATATAATATATATAATTATATATTATATTATATATATTTATATATTATATCTTATAAATATATATTTATATATAAATGTTTTTATATATGTATGTGTGCGTATATATGTATGTATATGTATAGATACATATACATATAAACATTTTTAATAATAGCAGCAAAACCCACATAAAAGTCCCTAAGCGTTAGCATTTGTCAGGGGCTGTTCAGTCGTCACAATGATCCCATGTAGTAGCTACTTTCATTATCTCCATTTACAAAGAAAGAAACTGAGTCACAGAGGGGTTCAGTACTTTTCCCAAGCTCAAAGAGCTAGCCAGTGAAAGCTAGAATTTAAACCTCATAAATGGCCTTGGAGTTCCAGCGCTCAACCACAGAGCAGTTATTCACTGCAGTAGATAATCCTATGTGACAATCACATGCTGATGAAGGAAACTGGAGGAAAAAAAGAGCTCACTTTGCAGCCAGGATGTCAGGGAGTCTGCATCCCTTATTAAATTCAAACATTGATTTTCCAAGGTGTAGGAAGGTGGGAGAATTTCCCAGTAGAAAGGAGTGGCTGCCTCCTCTTCTTTGCAAGGAATTACCCTGTAACCACCACTACACATACACGTACACAGACACTCTCCCTAATTCACGTGCCTGCCAGCAGGCAGACTCAACCATTCCTTTTGTCTGGCTTAGCACAGCCCATGTCAGACTGTGAGGTACCACAACATGCTGCTGGGGAACCCACACAAGAGACAGATTTCTTTAATAGCTTCTCCTAGAGGCTTGCTACGCAAAGCCCTGGTCACAGAATAGCAGCATTGAAGCACCTGGGAACTTGTTAAAAATACTACATACATCTCAGGTCCCACCTCAGAATTACTGATTCAGAATCTGCATTTTAACAAGATCCCTTGGTGATTTAGTTCACATTAAAGTGTGAAAAGCCTGTCTTAGAGGACGCCTCTCTGCTTAAGCATCCTTGCCCCTGCCTGCTCCCACATGACATTCACAGACCTTCTCCACCTCCCTCAAGCATCTGCCATCACATCAGGGCATCTCAGCTGGGCGCAGTGGCTCACACCTGTAATCCCAGCACTTTGAGTGGGTCACCCACCTTATTTGGGGGTTTGAGACTAGCCTGACCAACATGGAGAAACCCTGTCTCTACTAAAAATACAAAATTAGCCAGGCATGGTGGCTCATGCCTGTAATGCCAGCTACTTGGGAGGCTGAGGCAGGAGAATCACTTGAACCTGGGAGGCAAGGCAGAGGTTGCGGTGAGCTGAGATCATGCCATTGCACTCCAGCCTGGGTAACAAGAGCAAAACTCCATCTAAGAAAAAGAAAAAAATCAGAGCATCTCAAGTTCAAGGCCAAGGAAGAAGCAGCAATTCCTTCTCACCCTAGCCCATCTTCTGAGTCCTAGTTTCCTATCATCTTACGCAACATCTATACAGGAGGTATACACATGGGCACGAGTGGGCAAGGCTGTTTATTCATTAAAAGAGACCTGGAAATTGAGTTGTAAAAATAGATATAATTTTAATACATGTGGTAGGAAGAACAGGCGGGAAGATAAGAGAGAATTGCATGTAAGCCTCCCTCAATACATTGGGAGAAGGCAGAATGTAAACTGTAACCAAAAGCCAGGCAGAGTGCAGAAAGGCAATTGGAGTTTGGATCTGGACAGCCTGGTGGGACAGCAGACACCGTCTCTCTCTCTCTCTCTCTCTCTCTCTCTCTCTCTCTCTCTCTCTCTCTCTCTCTCTCTGGAGAGTAGACACGTCTGTCAGAGCAGGGGCAGTCCTAAATAGCAGCCACCACACTGCTTACTTAAACAACAAAATATGAGAGGACAGAATGGAGAAAACAGAAAGCACACAGTAGAAGTGGAGCCTGATGAGCTCTTTCTGAAAGTTTGCTCAGTGCACATTCCAGGTGCCGACCGTGGCTGAGGCTGAAATGGCAGTTGCTGCCCTGCGGCACAACCGCTGGTTGTAGGCATCTGTGGAGATACGGATATGAACTCCCCTTAACTAAGTTACATCCGGCAATAAGCAAGGTCATAAATCAATAGATATTGCTGAAAGCCTGGTTTTAAGACAAGTTTCTCCTTTCAGTGATGTTTAGAGCCAAATTTTAGGGGGGAGAAGTAGGATAGTAAAACGTCTTGGCATTTTTAGATCACTTAAAGAGATTGTTTTACAGCAAAAATGAAGTATTGATAGTAAGGCAGATGCCTAATACTGAAAATCTAATGTTATTAAGCATTATAGATATTGATTAGAGAGTAAATTAAACATGCCCTATATACTGATGTAGGAGTTTAATATTTACCGCAAGTACCGTAGGATCATCATTACCTTCCTTCCGCAAGCTGGCGTTTAGTCACCGTCAGTTGGAATTGCATTTGGAGAACAGTGATAAGTACTCAGGTACTGAAAGGCACCCACAAAGTGTCAATAAATTGTATAAGTAAGAGGCTTTGCCACTCTGCAAGTGACACAAAGACAGATGGCTTCCCATCAAAGAGTTTCTGAGACAAAGCGTTATATAAATAGGAGACTGGAATTAGACGGTAATAGAGAGATTCTGTTCTCAGTGGTTGGGATGTAAATTAATTTAGTCTATCCAGTTTGTAGAGCTTCATCTGTTACACGAGGGGCCTATAATGTGGCTGTCAAGATGTGCTCGGAGGTTTACAACTTTATTTGTCACTCTTGCCTTATGCAGAACCACTAGAATTCTAACAGCCTGAACCTTGCACCAAGAACCCAGATCTATTTGATGTTAGGGTTATTGCCATGTGGATGGTCAAATGGTAACCAGGATTGGATATAGAAAGCACTATTATATTTACAGTGGAGGCTCATGATGCCTGAGTTTGGTGTTTGCTGTGGATGGCTTCCTGTGAGGTAGCACAGATAGGCAATAGGCATCTGGTTGTTGACTTAGAATGATGCCATCAGAACCAGAGGAAACCATAGCAGAAATCTCAAAGAGCAGCACCCTCTATAAAGAGAATATTGAAGACCATGGAAGTTAGAAGTCTTCCTTGCTCAACAGTGCATGCTTAGTGGCAGTGGCTAGCCCAGGATCCAGACCACTAGACTCACAGCCAGTTTGCATGCTCTTGAACCCCGTAGTCAAAGATGTGACTCTATCTTCGTCCTTTTGTAGCGTTCGAATCGTGTTTTGATACTGATTTGATATTCTCACCAGTATGGCTAGATAAAATAAGAACACCCTTGTGGTACTTTTGCCTAATAATGATGGCAGCTTGTAATAATTGAGCACCTACTATAGGCCAGATGCTGTGATGTGCTTCACAACTAGACCCTCATTTAGTCCATGCAATAACCCTATAAGATAAGCAATAGTATCATGATTTTCTTTTTTCTTTCTTTCTTTATTTTTTAAGCTTTCTATTTTTTTATTATACTTTATGTTCTAGGGAACATGTGCACAATGTGCAGGTTTGTGACATATGTATACATGTGCCATGTTGGTGTGCGGCACCCATGAACTCGTCATTTACATTAGGTATATCTCCTAATGCTATCCCTCCCCCCTCCATACCAGAATGTCTGGGACACATTTAAAGCAGTGTGTAGAAGGAAATGTATAGCACTACATACCCACAAGAGAAAGCAGGAAAGATCTAAAATTGACACCCTACCATCACGATTTTCTTTTAAGAAAGAGAGTAAATAGTTTCCCCATAGCTACACAGGGAGAGGCAGAGCCAGGATCTGAGCCTACAATTTGACTGCAAAGTCTGCCCCTAACTACCATAACATACTATACAGACCATCTGTAGTTTAGGGTAGTTCAACGGGATTTTTTAACTTTGTGATGGAGCCAAATTCAGTAGACACTGTACTGTGAGCACCCATACAACCATTCTGATGTTCATTTTCAGCACAGTATTCAATAAATTACATGAGCTATTTAACAGTTTATTATAAAATATGCTTTGTGTTAGATGACTTTGCCCAATGGTAGGCTAATGTAAGTGTAGGCAGGGCTGAGCTATGATATTCTGTGGGTTAGGTGTATTGAGTACATTCACAGCTGATTTTCCACTTACCATGGGTTTATCGGGATGTACTCTTGCCATGAGTTGAGGAGCATCTGTATTCCCACCTACATCATCATAAGGTTGTGTTGATATTTACTCTCCTCTGAGCAAAGCCCTTGCTCAGAGCTGTCCTGCTTTTTCAGGAACACCAGCTAAATACAAAATCAGCCTTGAAATGCCCTGGCTTGGGGGCTGTCATCCCTGGTCATCTCTGTCCTCGAAACAGCTACAGCAGCAGCAGTGAACTGTCTCTTTCAAGCACCTGCAGCGAGTATTCCAGTGGCTCCTCCTACACATGGCACGATGGGAAGAACCTCAGGAAAAGGGTAAGGCCCCCTTTTAAGCACTCTGGCATCAGACTGAACCAGAAAAGAATCCTCTTCTGGTGGGATTTGGTCATGGAGGTGAAGGGCAGGTGGGAGGGGTAAGAAGGAAGCCACCATTTGCGGAGCACCTGCTCATGTATTATATTGACCTCCTTTCATCAGTGCCATAGCCTCGTAAAACACTATTTGACTATAAATTGGAGGGCAGCGTGGTGAGATGACAGAGACCACAACTTCAGTGTAGGTAGGCATATTTCTACTTATACATACCAAGAGTTCCTTTACCAGGATTTTTAATAATTACTACTACTAGAATGACTCCCATCTGCACAGTGGGCTTGCAGAGCTGGAGATTCCTTCGTGCTCCGAGTAGACTTCTTTGTACACTGATGTAAGGGAAATACTTGAAATAGCTATTTTATCCATTCCCTGATGTTGGAGAAAAGGAAAGAGCACACGAGAATGGAAACCCCGGATCAGAGTATTTGGAGGTCATTTTTCTCCCATTTGTATACATTTAGTTCATGGTTTTAGCAGTGTAGAAACCCAGAAAATCCAGAACTCCCAGGAGATATTGATGAGGGAGTAGCTTTGTCATCCTCTGAACAAGAACTCAGAAGATTTCACGTTTGCATTTAGGGCTTATTCCCTTGTACTCAGACTTCCAATGCAAAGTACAGAGCCTGCTGCATTATCAAAATTGCCCCCTCTAAGGAGTTGTTAGGTGCTCTGAATAATGACTGCTCAAAGCCTGGTTCGGAACAGACTGGAAAGATGGTCAGGGATGTTTCCTCGCTTTGTGAATATCGCTGGCTCCCAGAGCCCCTAGCTCTGTTCTTTTCACTTTCACACCTCTTTTTCTCTCTGCTTCTCAAAGGCTTTTCACTTTCTTTTATTTTTTGGCTGGAATTCTTCCAATTACAGTAGCTTTTGATGTTCTAAGGCAATCTCTCCCCTGAATAAGGAAAAAGAAGGTTTTTAAGGCACTTCATGGTCAGTCAGGTGGCTCTTTTCTGGATCCTTAATAGGGCTCTGCCATGGTCATGGAGTACCAGGACACCTGTCACATCTCACAGGGAACAGTCGTGTTTCTCAGGGACCTAACAAGCCAGACCCAGATTCATAAAGACATTTGAAATGTGTATTACTTAAGAAAGTTCTGCAGTTTCTTACTTTGTGCTGGATACTCATGTAGTATTAACTTACATAATAAACATGTATCATATTAATATGAATTTGTGTAGTAACTTATGTAACGATTAACATATGATTGATTGCGCTTTTTAGGTTCACAAGTATGTTTTTTTAAATACTTGTGTAGAAACAGAAAGGAAGCCTGCATGAAATGCACTAGCCTGCCCTACAGGGGAATTTGGCTCTAGTTGATGAGAAATTACCATATGTAGCATGGCCTTTTAAGGACTTCAGAAGCATTAGATCATGTAATGCTCCCAGTCGCCTACTAAGTAGGCTTTCCTATTCTCCCCATTTCACAGAAGACAACACTGAGGTGCGAAGAAGTTAAGTAACTGGCCCAAGATGCCACAGGCAGTACATGGCAGAGGCAGGCTCCAGAAGGTTCCAGAACCCACATTCTTAATTGTTCTTTTATACTGGCCTTGTTGAATCAGCCTGAAACGTGGTGAGGTTGCTTCAGTGATTGAGACTGGTTTGCTCCCATTGAGACCAAGATGCCCTTTAGGAAAAAAAAATGTATAAGATTCTTGTCCAGTCAAGAAATGGAAGAGGACTGTGGACATTAAACACAGGCCTCAACCTCAGCAACAGCATCTTTTAGTCAGTCACATTGCTTCCCAAGAGCAACTCTCTTCCAACTTTCGCAGCAAAGGATGGATCTGCCTGTGGGAAGTGCCAACTCCTCCCCACCATCACTCCCACAGGGCATTCATGTGTCTCTCACCCCCAAGCTTCAAGATTGGCCTAGGCTTTTCTCCAGCTATTAAATACTATAACCTCCTGTGGAGGACTGAAGGAGGAATGTGGCTGATCTCACCTCACCGGGCAGACAGCCTGGGCCCTGGGAGGTTTGCAGCCACTGGCTCTGGGGCAAGTCGCAGTGCAGCACTGGGCAGGCTCCAGAATGGCGGAAAGGAGGCAAGGCAGAGGCTGAGCATGTCTTCTTGGGGGGCAAACACATCCACATTTTTCAAGCTCTTGTGGGGTACTTTGGCCTGGCTTCTCTTATTTATTGTCAACATGACTATCAGGATCATGGAAATTCTTAGAAACTCACACTGTGGCAACTGCTTTCTGGTGGATCTATAATATCCAGATTCACTAATGGTACTTCTTCTGATTTCTGAAGGAGTTTGTAATGGTACAGGGAAGAGGAAGTGGGGCAGCATCACCAAATAGCATCTACTGCCAGCAACTTCTGACGGTGGAGAATTTCCTAAAGAAAAATTATAATTTGATTTAAAAACAAATAAATGTGTGCATTGTTGATAGCAAGAGTAATTTTCATGAAAATGCCTTAGATGTAAGCAAATGTTTACAGTGTACTAAGAAGTTCGGATTCAAATGGAAGTTTCTGACCTTTTTTTCAACCTCTGCACATAAGTGTGTGGGGCAGGGAGGAGACTGATGTAGCCAAACTGGTATAGAGTGCATTTCTGAAACCCAGAGCCTTCTCTTGAAGCTCTTTACCATTAATCATATAGCCTTTTTTTTTTTTTTTTTTTTTTTTAAAAAGGGAGTCTCACCCTGTCGCCTGGGAAGGAGTGCAATGGTGCAATCTCAGCTCACTGCATCCTCCACCTCCCAGGTTCAAGCGATTCTCCTGCCTCAGCCTCCCGAGTAGCTGTGATTACAGGCACCTGCCAACACACCCAGCTAATTTTTGTATTTTTAGTAGAGTGGGGTTTCACCATGTTGGTCAGGCTAGTCTCGAACTCCTGACCTCGTGATCCACCTGCCTCAGTCTCCCAAAGTGCTGGGATTACAGGCATGAGCCACTGTGCCCAGCCCAAATAGCCTTCTTAAGAAGTCGCTAGGTCAACCCCCTAAACTCTGCAAGTACCATTTAAGAAATAGTGTAGGGTAACCTGTGATTTCTATTGTGACACTGACTAAGGTAAAGGGGAGAAGAGGGGCCAAGCTTGACTTTAGTAGTATAGCAACAATTAGGACTGCAGGCTCTGGGGCCAGACTGCCTGGGTTCACGTCCCCTCATGGCCACTTTTGAACTGAGTCGAAGTCGACAATGCTGTAGAAAGAGCCTGAGAATCCAGAGTTCACACCTTTGCTCCAGCTCTTTCTGTGTGATCTCCAACAGACCCAACAATGAGTCTCAGTTGCCTGTTCTGAAGATGGAGTGAAAGCACTCTGTAAATGGCTGGTATACAGCAGAGGCTTAGTAAATGTTAGCTTTCTTCCCCCCCCCTTTCCATTTCTTATTAGCAAAACTATGAAAAAAAAAATGAATATGTAGAGCACAGTCTTTTCTCTCTGTCATTTCCCATACATTTTTCCAACGCTGAGGCTGGCATTTGGGAAGGGTGATGGGCAAGGAATTGACCTTTCTAAATTTGGTAGGTGAATAATTACTATCAGGTTCTAACAGCGAAAGCCCAGCTGCTGTGCGTGTGTGTGTATGTGTGTGGTAACTTAAGAAAGTTTTCACAGATATCTGTTGCCTACCAAATAAAGTCATGAAGTCACAGAACTATCAAATGTGAGCGTAAAGATATGAACCAACTTACTTTTCCAGCTTTACCCGCTGCACCTATCATAGACACTCTACAGTAAGGTCATGTCATTTTCTAGTCATTCCCCCAATGTGCCTTGAATGTACTTTCTGACTTAGGTCTTTGCCCATCCCATTTCTTCCATCTGGAATTATTTCCCCCACTTTTAACCTAAGGCAAACCTGTCTTTCAAGAGCTAGGTAAGTTTAAAAGAAAAAAATATGTACCTTTCCTTTATGCCTTTCTCCAAATAGACCTGTCTGTGGCCTCCCTCCTCTGAATCTCCAGAGTACCCACAACATTTGCACTTCTCATTTTCTCCCTTACATACCGTGAGCTGTGGCCAATTCTCCTCTCCCCTGCTGGGATTTCTGCTCCATGAAGACAGGGCCTTTACCTTCTGTTTCTTTAGATCACTGCGCTGCTTAGCACAGGACCTGGCAAAATCAATATTTGCTGCATCGTTTGTGAATACATTAATTAGCTAATTAATGTAGGCATTCATATGTGAATACTTATCAACCACTAGTGCAAATTAAGTCCCATGATGGACTTTTCCTTTTATATATGTGTGATCTATGTGGTTTAATCATTTCTGATGTCTACTTTTCTTTCCTAGCAATCATCACAAAACTGGGATAAAAGGCTAAGTATTGATTCTTCGCTCCCAAGTGGCTTTGCTAGTCCTACAAATGAACTACCTCCAACTCGTATCAAGGAAAGCCACATTTTGGAAGGGCTAAGAAAGCTACAGAAGCGAAAAGTGTTACTTGAACCCCCATCAGTGATAACCAAATGGGGTTATAAAGATTGCATGAACTCGAATGAAGGAATATATTCTCCAGGAATTAAAAGTAGCAGCCTCAAGGAGTATCCCCCCTGCAAAACAGCTGACCTGGGGAGCCCCTGCAAGGAGCCCCACAAGACATTTGTTTATGATCTAGATTCCCACGATGATGCAGACGATGACTCCTCCACCTTCACATTGCTCCAAGCAGTTCCAAACCAGAGCTACAGGCCGCATGGCAGTAAACTAACCCACAGTGTTTCTGACAGTCTGTTTGGCTGGGAAACAAATAGAAAACACGTTCTGGAAGGCACATCCTCAGTTTATCCCAGGGAAAGGCCTGAAAAGCTGACAAGTTGTGCCAGCAGCTGTCCCTTGGAGAGGAAGCTGTGCCCAAGTGTGCAGACGCCTCAGGTACAGAGGGAGAGGGGCCCACACGGCCAAGGCCATGGCTGCGTGGCTCTCAACCTCCAGCTTTCAGACACTGATGACAATGAAACACTCGATGAGCTGCACATAGAGAGCAGTGATGAAAAAAGTCCTTCAGACATATCACTGGCTGCCGACACCGAGAAGTCCGTGGAGAACCTGGATGTTCTTGTGGGGTTTGGAAAATCTCTATGTGGGTCTCCTGATGAGGAGGAAAAACAAGTGCCCATCCCTTCAGAGACTAGGCCAAAGACGTTTAGTTTCATTAAGCAGCAAAGAGTTGTAAAAAGGACTTCTTCAGAAGAATGTGTTACCGTGATATTTGATGCGGAAGATGGTGAGCCCATTGAATTCAGCTCTCACCAGACTGGAGTTGTCACTGTTACCAGAAATGAAATTTCCATCAATTCAGCTCCTACTGGACCCAAGGCAGAACATGCTGAACTTTTACCTCAGGGAATTACTTGTTTACAGCCAGGAGCTGCTGCAAGAGACTATACTTTCTTTAAAAGGTCTGAAGAGGACACTGAAAAAAACATTCCAAAAGATAGTGTAGATAATGTTCCCAGGATGTCCACTGAATCTTTCAGCTCCAGGACAGTGACACAAAATCCTCAGCAGCAAAAGCCGGTCAAGCCCACACACACGCTATCATGCCAGAGTAATTCCAGGTCTTCAGCGCCCATGGGCATCTATCACAAGCAAAATCTCACAAAAATACCTGCCAGGGGCAAGTCTTCACCTCAGAAATCAAAACTAATGGAGCCGGAAGCCTCCACACTACTCCCTTCATCTGGCTTGGTGGCTCTTGAAAAATCGCCGGCCTCAGTTCCTGGGAAACTCTCACGATTTGTGAAGACTGAGAGCTCAGGACCCCTCTTTGAATTACGACCAGATCCACACATTCCAAAACATCCCACCCAACTTCCGCACAGCTCCAGATTGCCCAGCAGGAGGGACTGGGTCCACTGCCCCAAGAGTCAGACTCCAGGGTCACGGTCAAGGCCTGCCATTGAGTCTAGTGACAGCGGAGAGCCCCCCACGAGGGATGAACACTGTGACTCTGGGCCGGAGGCAGGGGTGAAATCCCCTTCCCCTCCGCCCCCTCCAGGCAGGTCCGTCTCCCTGCTGGCCAGGCCCAGCTATGACTATTCACCAGCACCTTCATCCACCAAGTCTGAAACCAGGGTCCTCAGTGAAACAGCAAGGACCCCATTCAAATCCCCTCTGCTGAAAGGAATCTCTGCTCCGGTTATTTCGTCTAATCAGGCCGCGACAGAAGTGCAGAGGAAGAAACCTTCTGTGGCCTTCAAAAAGCCTGTCTTCACTTACCCTACACCCTCCCCAGAAGCAGTCATTCAAACCCGATGCCCTGCTCACGCCCCCTCCAGCTCCTTCACCGTAATGGCTCTGGGGCCTCCAAAGGTCTCTCCGAAGAGAGGTGCCCCGAAAACCTCTCCTCGCCAAACACTTGGGACCCCACAAATGGACACAGGATTACAGACTCCCAGGATTTCTCCTTCAACCCATGAGCCACTGGAAATGACGTCCTCCAAAAGTGTATCTCCAGGGAGAAAAGGACAGTTGAATGATAGCGCCTCCACACCCCCCAAGCCTTCCTTCTTAGGGGCAAACGAGTCACCATCATCTCAGGTCAGTAGTCCCTCTTTGTCCTCATCACCCTCCAAAAGCCATCACAGCCCTCATGGTTGTCAAAGTGCTCATGAGAAAGGACTGAAAACTCGCCTTCCGGTGGGACTCAAAGTGCTCATGAAGTCTCCCCAGCTGCTCAGGAAAAGTTCCACCGTGCCAGGGAAACATGAAAAAGACAGTTTAAATGAAGCCTCCAAAAGTTCCGTGGCTGTGAACAAGTCTAAGCCAGAGGACTCCAAGAATCCAGCAAGCATGGAGATCACAGCAGGTGAAAGAAATGTGACCACACCGGATTCACAAGCACAGGACAGTTTAGCTGAGGGGCTTCCCCTGGAAACAGCACTACAAGAGTCATTGGAAAGTAGCATCCTTGGGAGTGATGGAAGGGACGGGGTAGATAATAGATCCATGAAAAGATCCCTTTCCTCCAGCAAACCTCACCTAAAACCAGCTCTGGGCATGAATGGCGCCAAAGCCCGCAGCCAGAGCTTCAGTGCGCACTCAGGAGACAAGCCTTCCACACCCGCCATGGAAGGGCCAGGCAAAGTCCGAACTCAGATCATTACCAATACTGCTGAGAGAGGCAATTCTCTTACCCGGCAGAACTCTTCCATGGAAAGCTCTCCCAACAAGGCCCTTTCTGTTCCCATGTTGGAGAGTCTCCCTAGTGCTGGGAGGCCCTTGGGGCACCCCTCCTCCAGGCAGGGCTCCCTGGGGAGCTCAGGCAGCTCCAGCAGTCAGCATGGGAGCCCAAGCAAGTTGCCTCTGAGGGTCCCTCCAAAGTCTGAGGGACTCCTCATCCCACCTGGGAAGGAAAACCAGCAGGCCTTCACCCAGGGAGAGTGCCCCAGTGTGGCTATACTTGCGGAACCAAGCAGTGATCGCCATAGGTGCCCACCCACCCCAACAGACTGCCCTGAAGCCCTGCAGAGCCCAGGGAGGACTCAGCATCCAAGCACTTTTGAAACAAGCAGTACATCCAAGCTAGAAACTTCTGGAAGGCATCCAGATGCCTCTGCAACTGCGACTGATGCTGTGAGTTCAGAAGCCCCCCTCTCACCCACAATCGAAGAAAAGGTCATGTTGTGCATTCAGGAAAATGTGGAAAAGGGCCAAGTGCAAACAAAGCCCACCTCTGTAGAAGCAAAGCAGAAGCCTGGGCCTTCTTTTGCCAGCTGGTTTGGTTTTCGGAAGAGTAGACTTCCAGCTCTGAGTAGCAGGAAAATGGACGTCTCCAAAACCAAAGTAGAAAAGAAAGATGCAAAAGTCTTGGGGTTTGGAAACAGACAACTAAAATCGGAAAGAAAAAAAGAGAAAAAGAAGCCCGAACTACAGTGTGAGACAGAAAATGAACTTGTCAAGGACACCAAGTCAGCAGATAATCCAGATGGCGGTTTACAAAGTAAAAATAATCGGAAAACACCACAAGACATTTACAACCAACTGAAGTTTGAACCAAGGAATAGACACAGCCCTGTTACGTGTTCAACAAAAGACACCTTCATGACGGAACTCTTGAACAGGTAACTCACTGGAAAAGCAGGTAGCAATGCAGAGGGGTCCCTCCACCGCCTTAGAAAGAGTTGTTTGCTTTCTGTGCATTAAAGGCCAGTCAAGCATGGTTTTCATACAAGCAGAAATGAACAGTAGCAGTCTTTTATACATTAGCCAGAATTTAAACAATGAAATAAAAGTTAGCAATAAAATGATAATTTAGTCCATGTTACTTTGTTAACCAAACCAATGGTCTTTGAAATTAAAGAATGGTAAGTTTTATCAGCATTGATAGAAATTCCACCTACACTAGGAACTATGGATGTACCCAGATGGCATGAAATGGAAGAAAATTACACGTACGTTTTAAAGCATGCCGATTTCATTGATTATACCTAGCAAACATATACTTGGAAACTTTCCAGAAATAATGATGTTTCTTGCCACTCTTAAGCTAAAAATGTATTTAGGAATCACTCTTCAGTGGTTTTTATTTTGCCCCTCTCCACAGTAATCATAAAAATAAAAACTACATTATGATATTGTCACATCTACATTGACACGCTACTCGAATATTTGAAGATTTGATCAAGGCCTGTGAGAAACACTTATCCCTCAAAGGTTTCAAGACAAAGAGCTAAAAAGAGATTACTTTAAATATTAAAAAGGTTGGGAAAAGGAGAGTGATTGAAGAAGGAGCAAGGTAACTCATCAGAGGAATCACTTTCTACCTGCAGAGTTGATAAGAAAGCAGCTCCACAGACAGAAAGTGGATCAACGAATGCTTCCTGCAGGAATGTGTTAAAGGGCAGTTCTCAGGGCTCCTGTCTCACCGGCAGCTCTCTCAGCACTCAAGGAAACCACAAGAAAAACATGAAAAGCAAAGCCGATATGGAAGTACCGAAAGGCTCCCTGGTAAGTGCTCCTCCATCCTGGTATCAAGTGCTACCATCTGAGATGTTCTGGCTGAGGTCTTTCTACCATTTGCTAATGAAAGTGTATGGGCAAGAGATTGCAGTTGGGGGAAAGAAAAGGTCAGTGAAAAAGGATTTGTAAAAAGAGAGAGAAATACTGGTGACAACTGCAGCGGAGAGCTGGCAGCTGGACCTCGAGTGGGCCTGGCCCTCAGGAAATGCTGCTTCTCCCAGCTGTTTTCAAAACGATGAGTATAATCGCGGTGAGTCCAGGCAAATGATGCTACTGGTATCATCTTCAAATTACACCATTGGCCTGGAAATTTGTTTTGATGATTATTTCTAACATCACCAGCAACCAAAAAGGAACGAACATGATTTTAAAAATAGAAGTGCTAAACAATTTAAGAGACTATTGCCTATTTTGATGATTTGATTTAAGCGTTATGTTTTATGAAAGTTGTATGAACCAATTCATGCAACTTAGACAGAAGCTGTGAAGACTAAGAAAGCTTTTTTGGAACTTGGCTCCCTATCATTTAGCCTATTATGGGGTCCAGAACGCAGGGAATAGACTTCTTTTTAAAAATTAAAAAATAAATGGAGCATTTTTATATTTTCCTGGGGTGTACTAGTTTCAGTTAATATTTTTGTTTTAAAATTACCTTAAATTGCACTTACTCTCCTTACATTCTTTATGTACTTGTGTAAATAATTTGATAATATTCATTGTTCCTTTTGGTAAGTTCCAGAGCACTTAGACACACAAAAAAATTCTCTTTACGGAATTACTATATCCATATCTTTCTGTACTCTAGTAAAGAGGTTATCAAAATATAGTACATACTACCATTTTCTGAGGGAGAGCTTTCAGTATTTCCCTGCATTATTTTCTGGAGTCGCTCAAGAGTAGAGGAGATTTTAAAGTGACCACGGCTGACATTATTAGCTATTAATTATTAGCTATAAGTATTTATTGATGTTTAGATTTCCTTCAAGTTTCATATACTTTAATTTGAGAGAAGTGGATGTTTAAATTTTTTTACTCAAATAGTTCTTGACTCTACAGAACCATAAGGTCTTTTTGGCAAACTCTCCAAAATTGTATGCAGATTATGTTCGTTGCAGAAGTTTTTTTTGTTTGTTTTTTTTTTTTCTTTCTCCCATCCCATTTTTGCTCTTGGTTTCCATGGTATCATCCCTTCTTTGAAAACATAGATGTCCCCTGCATTATAAAACCACAAATTATAAGCATATCTAAGGCTGTCCTTGTAGTGTCACTGAAAGGAAGGGGAGAGAATGAACGTGTGAAAATGTGCAATATGCTGGAAATTCAATCCAGCTGATGGAAAACTTTGATAGCCTGGCAGAGCCCCTTATCAGAGGCGCTCGATTTAACTATGCTCCATTTAGTATGGTCCTGACAGCTTAGGGTATATCTTCACTGTACAGAAGTACCACAAAAACAAAAAGACTTTGTGTTTGGCTTTCACGATTTCATTTTTATTTTCTTATTGCTTCCTAATGCTAACGTTATTTGCCATGCTTTTCCTCTCTCATCTTCAGTCCTTCACAGGGTGCTCTGGTCTTTCCAGAATACCTGCAAGAAACACTCTTATTATTTTGTGTGAAGTACAAAGATTCCCTAACGACCCCACATATACATAATCAATAGGGATATGATAATTTTTCTAGTTAGTTGAAAGACAGATTAGTCATGCTGAGAAGCTTTTCCATACAGAGAAATGTCATTAACCTGGATAGTTGACTAGCTAGTCATTTTTTAAAATGTAAAATGCAGTGCTTTTTTGTTTCATCTCCATAATCATCAGCATGGATTGGACTGAAATTGCTAATTTCAGAAAGGACATTGCTATAGACTCCTTTGGGACTAGTACAGGAATAGGAGTGAAAACTCATTTATTACATGTTATAAGCCTATATAGGAAGGAGATTAGATGCAAAATGAGATGTATTTTAACACCACAGCCCATTTATGTGAATACCCATGAACCTTTTAAAATTCAGAGTTGAAGGGAATTTCCCCCCACTAGGGGTCGAGGTAAATTCAGTCTCTGCTTATTTTAAAGTGTGTTGCAAAGAATTTTTTCATAGCAGTTATTTTGGATGAAAACAATGTCTATATACAATGCATTATGTATCACACTTTTTTTCCTACATAAAACCACTGTTTAAAACCTTATGATGTACTATACCACCATCTTTTGTTCTTTACAAACTAAGATTATATATAGTTATGAGAGTCCTAAGGCATTTTTAGTATTCTAATACATAATAGAAAGATTATTTTCATACATATAACAAATCCACATGTGTAGCAAACCTCCACTTAGTTCACTAGTAACTGCATATTTATTTTTAGTATTGCTGGAAACATTCTAAAATATGTTTAAAAGTCCTATTAATATTTGGCTGAATTAAATTTCTTTCTTATTTCACAACCTTAATTAGAAGCTTATATCCCCATTTCTGCCATCGTTTATAGACCACTTAGCTCTAATTTTTGTGTAATTTAGACAAGGGCTGTGTCACTTGGTACTTTTATTTAAATTATATAAAATCATTATAAAATAAGGAAAAGGCATCTCCTAAAAAGGCTGCTTTGGTATTAAGTTAATAAGTCAAAAAGAGGTACTCTATGCTTGCTACATGTTTTAAGTTCTTCCTTCCTGTGGATTTAGATAATTTTCTGACATGAAAAGTCTCAAAGAAGGACAGCTCTAGGCTCCTAGTTAACTATCACTGGGCAAAAATAAAAATCATTAACAAAATTAATGAGATCATATACCTTCATCATGAACCATTTTAATATGACCATTTTAGTATGGGTATTTTAATTTAAATTATGGGTATTCTCTTCACCCAGTGTCACATAGTCTTAAAAAAAAAAAAAAAAAAAAAAAGTCTGCTAATAAAAAAGCATCAAATACTCTCCCATTAAAATGGTACCATGGTGATAAAATGGCAGAAAATAGTACAATAATTACACAAATTGTTATCATCTTATTAAGTTCTGTGAAATGTTATAATTTTAACATCCTTAATTGAACAATTCTGTTCTAAATGTTATTTTGATGCTAATAAGAAGCATGCATATTTTGCCCTCCGCCTGCAAAGTTTTCTAAATGAGTAGCTTTTCCAAAGGTTATGCCTTCCAGGAGTTTTCCCTCCCAGGATTATTTCCTGTCTCACTTAGATTCATTATATTCTTTTCCTTTTCAAATGAGCTTTGGCATCGAAATGTTGGTTTCTTGGGAAGCCGTTAGTGTTAGGGTGATTCAGGGAAGAAAGATGTATAGAACTCCAAATGAAGGATGTTCTCAAAACTGGGTTTAATTATGAAATTATATCAATGGTAAATTATTATTTTCTCCCCTTTTCCACTTGTGTCTCTTACAAGCACATTTTTTCCCACCCTTCCTAGGAACAGGAAGCTCAATTTAACTTCCTAGGAACAGGAAGCTCAATTAAATAGAAGTGCAGTGATATTTAATTGTTGCCTGTTATAGACTGGTGTTTGGAGTAGTAGTTCCTGAGACTAGAACTGCAGAGCCCCAAAAGATGGACAAGAGTTAGAGATGAATCATGAGAAGACACCCAAAGCACTGACAACTAACTTAAACCAAAAACAACCCATAGTTGTTGCTTGTGAGTCACCTTCTACTTTTTACCAAATGGGACATAACTGACATGGACTTGTTTCTGTTCCTGGGATGGCAGCAATGACTGGACATTTCTGCATTTCTAACCACCAGTCTTTTCTGACCCAAACGCTTGCCAAACTTCTTGGTTTTGGGTCCACTCTCCCATTCTTTGCAGTGCTTTCCCGCATGGAGGCTGTCTCACTTGTACCTATTTTTGGCAAATTCGTTACCTGGCAGCCCTCTTACTCCCAGGAAAGCTCCCACAACTTCCCACCAACATCCAGCTCCTATGGGATCAAGAATGAAAATTAATTTAAATTTCTTCCTATGAAAAATATAATTAGCAAGGGGAATCTGCTGCCAAAATAAATTATGCCCCTCATTTCCATAGGCAAATGGATTTTTTTTAATTACTCACCACTTTGCATTGAAATCTATTTGTATGGATAATTAGAACTGACAAGTATGTCACTCTAAAGCACTCCCCCACTTTCCATTTTCTTGCTGCTGCTTCATCCATTCCCTTCAAGTTCACAGTTTCTCCCCCTGAGTCATCTGCCCCTCATGGGTCATCCAGCCCAGGAGAGCTGAAAGAGCCAGGGGACTCATTCACCATCTCAGTTCCTCTCATAAGTCCCCAGAGGCCACATTTAGCGTTTATGTTAAGCACATAAAGCCCTGGAAAGGCTCTGGCAAGGAGCTGACAGGTAGGACTGTGCAGTAGCTTTTGTTTTCTTTCTTAAATACGATAATTAGAGAAAGGAGGTGGAGAAGGCACACAGAAGGGGTAGGGAATAGTAGGGAAGGGAAGCGGAGAATTACACACCCACACACGAAAAATGTTTACTACTCTTAAAATATAGTTTATGGATACTTGGAATATTGCCTTCATACCTAACTGGTAGGCATTAACAAAGAGTAGTTCTTTGGAAGGTCTGGAAAGGACAGCTGTAACTGGACAGGGCACTCTGAAAAACTGAATTATAGCAATGCATAGGAATCAGGAGTGCTTGTTCTATAACTGAAATTCTGTATGACTTTGAATAGATTATTAACCCTCTCTGAACCTCCTTTTTCTTTATCTGTAAGATGGAAACTTTGTTCTGATTATTTGATTCTTTCATTTAGAATTTCACAGGCTGGCAGAGATGATGATTTACTCACAGTCCAACAGGTTTTGAGGGCACCCCTGCAAGTTTACAATGTATAAATTTAGAAAAACTCGAAGGAAATACTATTTTACATTAACAGGTGGGGGAAATATGGGACATACTACCTTAAGAGCTGATATGATTGGCCGGGCGCGGTGGCTCAAGCCTGTAATCCCAGCACTTTGGGAGGCCGAGGCGGGCGGATCACAAGGTCAGGAGATCGAGACCATCCTGGCTAACACGGTGAAACCCCGTCTCTACTAAAAAAAATACAAAAAACTAGCCGGGCGAGGTGGCGGGCGCCTGTAGTCCCAGCTACTCGGGAGGCTGAGGCAGGAGAATGGCGTGAACCCGGGAGGCGGAGCTTGCAGTGAGCCGAGATCCGGCCACTGCACTCCGGCCTGGGCAACAGAGCGAGACTCCGTCTCAAAAAAAAAAAAAAAAAAACAAAAAACTGATATGAAACTGAAAATATGATTTCCTTGTTGTTTCTATAAAGTAGGATAAAAGGCTCCCAGTGGATTATTAATGGAAACTAAGGTGTTTGGGGGCCTTTGGGTCACCTTGTCACGAACAGATCCCTGAGCAAAGAGAACCTTGGAAGGCAAATAAGTAGTGCTTTGGTCTTTCTCATACTCACAGTACGTTTCCTCTCTGCCATCTGTAAATATATACTGCTAGAACACGATCAGTTAATGAAGCCCTTTTTTCCTGCCTTCTTTCATTCTCTGACTTTCTTCCTGTGGAGTTGCTAACCAACAGGGAAATGCCCACAGATTAGACAGCTGAAGGGGAAAGAAAGTGATGAAGCATGGCCTCTTGATACTGAACCCTTAACGATCTCTCCTTGCCAGGGTTGAGTTAGCCATCTACATACTCTCTTGAGTTTGCCATCTCTGGCTATCAGCATGGTACAGATTAAGCACCAATTACATTCTAATATTGAAACTGCAGTCATAAAATGTAAATAATTGGTCTTATTCCATTAAGTATGAAAAATAGGAGGCAAAAAGTAGAAAGCTAAATCCAGCTCAAGGTCAGTATTCAGCCATACGACTTTTACATTGAGAGTATAAAATAATAATTTCTTGGCATTCAACTCAAGCCCTGTAGCAAATCCACTGACAACCTCTGATGTAAGTGCCTAAGCAGAACACCCATTGCATTGCGCATTGTTATCATTGGCTGCCTGGAATGTGTTTTAAAAGAACTATGTAGGGCCATTCCCTCCAGAATCCTAAGTTGTCTTGTACTGAGTCCAAGTCTACACAGGCATATTCAAGTGGAAATTTGAGAATACCAAAGGTCCCCCTACTAAACACAAATCTGGAGTCAGATTTGCTGTGTTTAAATCCCAGTGCCACCACTTTGACAATCACCTTCTCTGTTGCTTTGGGATGGGTCTTCATCTTTTAAAATAAAGCTAACCATAGCACCTGCTTCATAGCACTGTTGTAAGGATTTTGAGATCTTACATGCAAACAGCACCTGCCCAGTATGTAAGTGTTCACTGTTGTTTGTGGTTGGTATTGCTGATAATGCTCTTACTTCCACTATTGGATTGGGAAGCAGGGGGCCTGGGCTTTCATGCCAGTGTTGCCACTTACTTCATTCGTGCCAACTTTAAAGAGACCTCAGAATTCTCATCTGTAAAATACTGGGACTTCATTAAATTCTGTGTAGAGTTCCATCTGATGCTGCCCAATCAAGCGCCTGGGCCTTCCAACTGAAATATAAGAGGGAATGGTTTTGGCTGAAAAAAAAAAAATCTAGATAAATGACTCACTGCTCTAGTTCACTGATCATACATACATCATTGTCATCTCCTTTCATTATGGAAAGAATGAAAAAAAAAAATCGTCTTCTTAGTTACATTCCAGGAAAGAGCCAGGAGATCTAAGTATATTTAAAGTATATATTTTCATTCCTATTGAAATAACTGGTAGTGGAAGTCACTTACTCTAGAGGAATTATACCTCCTTAGACTTTAATTTTTCCTAACAGTCGTGTGTTACTGATTTTATTAATTATTAAAAAGCAAAGCTGTTATCTCTAAAATTATGTGTAGAATTAGATACCCTGTAAATTCTCCCCTTCAGAGATGAAGTTATATGTCTGAAAAGAAGCTCTTATAATTAAAACTTGCAATAAAGGCAAATGATGGAGTGTGGAAAAGTGGAATAAAAAAATATATGTTATATGTATACATACATACTCACACATGTATATACATGCAAACACTCACACCTATGCCCAAATATTTGTTATAGAATGTATCATTACTCTGAGGATTGCAAAAGGATCTTTTTAATAAAACAAATAAGAACTTGCATCATTTTCTTCTTCTTCCAGGTAAAACAGGCAAATGAAAGCTTGCAAGAGGATGAAGATGATGCAGTTGCAGATTCTGTATTTCAGAGCCACATCACAGGTAAAAATTCACATATTTATATGTCTTTTACTGAGACTTGTTCTAAATGTATCCTTCGTTCAGATATGGTACCTTCCTAGAGACCATGTCCCTCTATCAAGACGGAGTCTTAACTATTCACACATGGTTGCCGTTATCAACTTAGACCTTGGACATTACCATAAAATAAATGGGTCAAAGCAGCACCTATGAGGAAAGCATGGGTATTTGTAAAAGAATGCAAACTGATGGGAAGTATTTGTCAATGTGAAATCAAAGTGATACCGAGTAATCCAGTTTCTATAATTGTCTCAAGAACACCTAGTGGTTAGGAGTGTGGGTGGTGGTTTTCTTAAATGAAATATTTGATAAATTGAATGTTTTACACATAGTAGCAAATATAGAATAAGAAAATTCGGTTTGCCAAAACTCTCAACTCACTTTTTACATCATTTCTGTGAAAACTCAGAATATAGATAGTCCTGTCTCTGAAATAAGTTCAGCTTGTCAGCCACGTCTTAAAATTGTGCATAACCTTGAAGGAACTCAAGTTCCCAGCACACAGGAACTTCGCTGACCTCTTTTCAGCAGCTGGGAGGTAACCAGTGATGGAGGAGTTGCCTGTGACTACCATCCTTGTCAAGAGATAGAAGAAGTGACACCTTTAGCTGCTCCAGGCCACCCTAGACACTTGAAGGATTGGTCGTTCCTCAGGCTCTAAATATAGCCATGCATGTGAGCGTGCTGATTATTTAGCTTGACACAAGACACGGAGGCATCATGGAATCATTTCTGCAAGTCACATTTGGGTGTAGGAGATAGTGCTGAATACCGTGTCCCAGAATATGATGGCCTCACAGATCCCCAGTGTCTAGTATCATCAGCATCCATTTCTCCTCTCCTTTCACCTGGAGCATCTTTAGCTGCCCACTCTCAGTCTCCCACTACTCGGCGCCATGTTGGCGCACTTTGTGGCTGATTTTCTAGCATACTCAGCGGTCTTGTGCAAACGATAATTTATAGTTTGTCTGAGAGAGTTGTACCCCCATGGCTTAATGAGACTGGCATGCCATTATTATTCTTTTCATTCGTAATTGGGAACACAAAAGTCTTCACAAACAACTGAAAGAGTAGTCTGAATAAGATTATTATTCCAAAAGGACATCCTTTATTATAGTTGTCAATGTAAAATGCTTAAATTGGTATCAGTTCTGCCTAGTTAGCTAATATTCGAGTTAAATATTGTTTAACAGCCTTCAAACATGACATTGTGCAAAGCCCTGCTGAGTCATCATTTTTCCATAACGAGGTGTTCTTGGGCCTATGAAATAATATATATAAAGTCACAAGCTGAATATTTTCTAAGAGAACTACAGGAATCTCTTAAAATATTTTTTAATAGGTAGCAATTCTTTATATCTGTGCTGCTTGATGCGATAGCCACTAGCCACGTGTTGGCTATTTCAATTTAAATTAATGAAGCAAGATAAAATTAAAAATTTACTTCATCAAAAATACTAGCCACATTTTGAATGTTCAGCGGCCCTGTATTCTGTACAGTCACATGTCACTTGGTGACAGGAATATGTCTTGAGAAATGTGTCATTTGGCAATTTCAACGTTGTGCGAATGTCAAAGAGTGTACTTACACAAACCTACATGGTATAGCCTACTACACACCTAGGCTATATGGTATAGCCTGTTGGTCCTAGGCTACAAGCCTGTACAGCATGTTACTGTACTGAATATTGCAGGCAATTATAACACAATGGTAAGTATTTGTCTATCTACCCGCAGCTAAACATAGAAAAGGTAAGGTTAAAAAAATGCTAGTATTGGCCGGACGCAGTGGCTCATGCCTGTAATCCCAGCATTCTGGGAGGCCAAGGCAGGTGGATCACGAGGTCAGGAGATCGAGACCATCCTGGCTAACATGTTGAAACCCTGTATCTGCAAAAATACAAAAAAAAAAAAAAAAATTAGCTGGGCGTGGTGGCGGGTGCCTGTAGTCCCAGTTACTTGGGAGGCTGAGGCAGAAGAATGGTGTGAACCCAGAAGGCAGAGCTTGCAGTGAGCCAAAATCATGCCACTGCACTCTAGCCTGGGCAACAGAGTGAGACTCCGTCTAAAACAATAAAAAATAAAAAAATTTGCATCGAAGATAAACAACAATGTACCTGTATAGGGCACTTATAGAAATGGAAGTTGCTCTGGGTGGGTCAGTTAGTGAGTGGTGAGTGAATGGAGGGCCCAGGACATCACCTTATACTACTGTAGACTTCATAAACACTGTACACTTAGGCTACACTAAATTTATTGGAAAAAAAAATTCTTCAATGATAAATTAACTTTAGCTTCCCATCACTTTTTTACTTTATAAACTTTTAAATTCTTTTTAATGTTTTGACTCTGTGATAATACTTAGCTTAAAACAAACACGTTGTACAGCTGCACAAAATATAATATTTCTTTATATCCTTATTCTATAAGTTTTTTTCTATTAAAATTTTTTTTCACATTTAACATTTTTTGTTAAAAACGAAGACACAAATACACATTTTATCTAGGCCTCCACAGGGTCAGAATCATCAATATCACTGTCTTCCACCTCCACATCTTCTCCCATTGGAAGATCTTCAGAAGCAATAACACACATAGGACGGTCATTTACAGTGATAACAATGTCTTCTTCTGGATGCCTCCTGAAGGAATAGCCAGAGTCTGTTAACTTTTTTTAATAAATGGAAGGAGTACAGTCTAAAATGACAGTAAAAAGTGCACTATAGTAGTAAATACATAAACCAGTAATAGTCACTTATTATCATTATCAAATATTCTGTACTATACATCATTGTATGTGCTAGATTTTTCCATGACTGGCAGCACATAGGTTTTTATACACCAGCATCACCACAAACATGTGAGTAATGGATTACACTATGACATTACAATCGTTTAACTATGATGTCACTAGGCAATAGGAATTTTTCGGCTTCATTATAATCTTAAGGGATCACCATCATGTATGCAGTTCGTCATTGGGCAACACATCATTTTGTGGTACATGACTGTATGTTCTATATCATAAATAGATCACATATGTTCCTTCATCACACAAACATATGTGTTCTATATGAATGTTTCCTTCATCAGTGTTCTGTTGGATAGTGCTGCGTTAGAGTAATCTAATGGAAGTACATTTGAATGATGTTTTTGATAGATGATTGACTTGATGTTCAGATCATTGCAGATGTATGTCTTCAAAGTGGTAGAGAACCATATGAATAAGCTACTGTTGGCCACAAGTAAACGACAACAAAAAAGCCTGACAAGTCATTGCATAAATAATAAAGTTAATCATCTTATAGAATTAAAAGACTGGAGGAAGGCAAACATGAAAAAGGTGTGTAGCGGCTCAACAATGTCATCAAAAGCGCTTTATATACAGGTTCCTTTTTCGACCACATATTTGTATTGTAACAAGAACTCAGGCAAAGTTTTATCCATAGTTAAGAAGAACTCTTGGGATCTATAAGTTTGGGGCACTCGATACTGGTTTGAGCAAATTTGGGTTGGAGAAGAAAGGACAGGATCAAACCTACTTCAGTGAACTGCACAAGAATCATTGCCAGGGGAAAAAAGAGTTGTTTTGTGGTAGAACCCTGCTTTTGAAAAGTAGCCTGCGTTAAGGCTAAGAATTGAGACAAAGCTATGTTAAGCCAAATAGAGGAGCCAATATTGGCTCATCGTATCTATTTACTTGGCCATGATTATCCTGCTAGCTTTTTGTCCTCATGCTTGTGGCCTCTGGTTGCAAATTGACTCCCACCACTCTAGTCATTTACCTTTAAGACAAAAGTGTAAGGAAGACTAAAACTTCACTACAGTTCCCCCATAGACTCCATCTTATGGATCATTGATGAGAAATGAATCATACAGCCAATCCTAGCTGCAAAGGATGCTGGGAAAGTTAGCATGTTGCTTTCCAGCCTCCATTGCATGAAATAGCAGGGAAAAGAGGGCTGAGCATGTCTCCTAGGCTAGCCAGTCAATAGGCTTTCCACAGACCTTCTAAAAAGTCCCTCCATTTCAAGACTGAATGAGACTCAACAAAGTCAAGTGGTTGTTATCTTAATTCCACAAGAATGGCCAAGAATATATATATTTTGTACCCTGATAATACCATTGTTGTTCATGTTGTCAAACCTAAGTGTTGTCACATATTCTTGCAATATTTTGTAACCATAATATGTTTCCAATAGCAGCAACTGTGCAAATCTAAATGTGTTGTTCTTCTAACCAATACTAACTAATGTCTTTGACAGAGGACAATCAGGAAAGTTGTGAATCTGAATGTTTGCATTTCTGTGGTTAAGGGTAATCACGTTAGTTTAATCCAAATGTTATGAGTTGATTACAAGAGAAGACATGTTAACTTGGCCAGACGCAGTAACTGATCTCTGTAATGCCAGTACTTTGGGAGGTTGAGGCAGCAGAATTGCTTGAACTCAGGAGTTCAAGACCAGCTTGAGCAACATAGTGAGATCCCATCTATACTAAAAAATTTTTAAAAATTAGTCAGGCATGGGGGCATGTGTCTATAGTCCCAGCTCCTCTGGAGGCTGAGGCAGGAGAATTGTTGAGCCTCAGAGGTCAAGGGTGCAGTAAGCCATTATCACGCCACTGCAGTCCAGCCCAGGTGACAAAGCAAGACCCTGCCTCAAAAAAAAAAAAAAAAAAAAAAGATATTAACTAAACCTGCTCGATATTGAAATTCAAGATTCATGCTTAAGTAAAATAAAGCAACTACATTTTTTTCTTTAAAATTGCCCTCATAAATGTCAGACTAAACAAAGCAAATGGCTAGCCTAGCCTAATAGAAATATTAACAACAATGATCACAAATGCTGTATTTCTAATTATTCTTTCCTGCTATCTAACTATAATGCCTTTACCCTATATATTATACTAATTGTCTACTACAGTTAACAATTAGTAGGAATTCAAATACCATTCCTTGT